CCCCCACCCTAAACCCTGAAACCCTACACCCTGAACCCTAACACCCTAATCCCCCCCACCCTAAACCCTGAAACCCTACACCCTGAACCCTAACACCCTAATCCCCACCCTAAACCCTGAAACCCTTAACCCTGAACCCTAAAACCCTAATCCCCCCCACCCTAAACCCTGAAACCCTAAACCCTGAACCCTAACACCCTAAACCCTAAACTTCTTGGATTCTTGAAACCTTCTGGGCTACGTCCTCGCCTCGAAGACCTTTTACTTCCCAGACCCCCGGGAGGATCTAGAAAGTAGAACCCCTAATTTGGGACCCTATACTACTAAGGGCTCTTTATAGGAACCCATCTTAAGGGATCTACTTTTTGGATCCTTTCGGGGGTCTGGTTTGTTCTAGTCGGGTATAGTCTGCACCGTGGCTCCTAGGTAGGGTTTTGGGTATAGGGCTTAGGGTTTGGGCTTTAGGCTTTTGGGTATAGGGCTTGGGGTTTGGGCTTTAGGCTTTTGGGATGTTTACTTTTGAACCTTTTTGGGGCTCAGGGGGATCTTATTCACGAATCTTCTTCAGAGGCTTTCACGGCACAGCGTAGGCGCATACTAAAAATAGCCCTAAACCCTGAACCCCTAAACCTCTAAACCCCTAAACCCTAAACCCCGAAACCCTAAACCCTGAACACTGAACCCTAAACCCTAAACCCTAAACCCTAAACCCTGAACACTGAACCCTGTAGTAGGATACTAGATACACCCCAAGAGCATAGCAGAGCACAGCCCCTGAACTCCCAATTACCTGAGCAAGATCCCCCTTTGCCCGCAATAGAGGCTTGACTTTAGGGTTTAGGGTTTAGGGTTTGGGGTTTGGGGTTTGGGGTTTAGGGTTTAGGGTTTAGGGTTTAGGGTTTAGGGTTTAGGGTTTAGGGTGCATAGGGTCACAAATATTTTTCTCTGAGTGGTTTCAGGTACCTAAAGCATCCTAAATAGACCCTACGTGCTCATTGGGCACTTGACAATCAATTCGAAACCCTTGTTTGTACAATCCGAGGACCGTTTCGAGGATACGGAATTCTGGAGACTTGCCATGATTATGCACACCTTCACATACGGAAGTTTCTCTAAACAGGGGCCCTAGTTTACTGGTCCAGATAATACGGACCCTACTGCTGGAGTGCAAATCCTGCCAAATACGAGACACATGCCATAAGTTTCAGGTAGTGCAGCCAGCCACAGAAGTTTAGGGTCTATGTATTGGTACCCCTAAACCCCAAACCCTAAACCCTAAACCCTAAACCCCAAACCCTAAACCCAAAGCCCTAAACCCTAAACCCTAAACCGGGAACTCTCACACAGAGCGTTTCTAGTTCGGCGCAGCTTTTGGAAGCCGACTAGAACACTTCAACCTGGAAGCCTTAGGGTTTAGGGTTTAGGGTTTAGGGTTTAGGGTTTAGGGTTTAGGGTTTAGGGTTTAGTGTTTAGTTGTTGAGGGTTTGTCATCGGTTCCTGTAATGCTGAGACCCTCTGTCTACCCTCTACTAGACCTGCAATACACAGAATTTCGGGGAGGCCGGACTACCTTCCGTTGTGATATGACAATGCTCCCAAAACCCCCTTTTGATTGATCCTCTCCCGGAGTCACCCGACCCGACTCTTGCCCCTTCCCGACTGTGGGCACCTTTTGCCGAGCCCTGGTTTAAACAAAGTCTTACGCACCTACATAGTACAGTAGGGTTGCTGTAGTAGGAATTTCCACTCTGTTTTTGGTGAGCATCCCCCGTATAGGTGCTGAGGACCATCTAGGTCTGTTTGATTTGTTCGAGTATCAAGAGACGAGCTACCAGACAGCAGGAAAGTAGCCAAGGGCCAAGAGTGAGGAGTCTAGGGTGGCGGTGTAGGGTTCAGGGCTAGGTCAAGCAGAAGCCCCAAAAAGGGAGGAAGGTAGAGGGATCATGGGGTTTTTTGCAGCTTCACTCACATGCATAGCAGATGCAGAGTCCGGTGCCGGCTTGTGAATTTGCCGGTCTGTGGATTCTGTAGAAAAAACAGTAGCTGGTTTTGCAGTTTCCTAATCTTGATCACATTAAGCCTCTTCGCGCCAGGGACAGCATCTTGTCACTCAAAGACTTCAAAGCCTACGAGCACACTGGCGGTGGTGGCGTGCGCTTTCGGGTTTTAGGACTTTCCAGGAGAACACGAACCCTATTCAAGCTTTTGATGTCATATGTATATACTATATCAATATGTATGTATATATATATATATATATATATTATGTAGCATTTGACCATGACGTCCACAAAAAGGGCACGTAAGGTTTATAGATGTTTCGGGCTTGGGTTCTTGCTTCTCTCCCGTTCTGCCGAGCCACTAGTCGGCATCCGTACTGCTTGAAAGAAGCTCTAGAAAGGACATAAGTCCTCCCCGAGGACCCTATATCTTGAAACTCCCAGTGAGAGTGAGAGCGCGTTGTGCTTAGAGCCTAAATCTCGGCTAGCAATTCTGCTGCAGGGAGAAGGCCTAGTACACTATTTAACAATCGACAAACTCTGACCCCAAGCACAGAAACCCCTGAACCCTGAAACCCAACAGCCCTGCACCTCAAAACCAAGTTTCTGTGTGGGGCAGGTTCCGAAGTAGTCCGCGGGAGGTACTTGGCTTTCAGTCGGTCGACGGCATGCAGCAGCTTCCCATGCAGAAAGATCATGACGTGGAGCTAACCCTAAATCCTAAACCCCCTAACCCCCCGAACCCGGCAGCCTAGGACTTCTTACACCCCCAAGATCCAATCCCGAAAGCACGAAACCCCATCTGCCGGAACCCTTTTTAGGGTTTAGGTTTTAGGGTTTAGGGTGTCAAACCCCCTGTCAAGTGAGTTAAGGAATTCGAAAAAGGGTCTCCCAGTGGGCCTCTTTTCCCTTTTCGTGATCTTGGGTCCCGCACACATACTACCTAATACGCAAAGGGGCCCTTTAATTCCTCGGCTACTAAGGAGCCGAGTACCATAACAGGGTTCTATAGTAATTAATAATGATGATTCACTTATATGTGTTATGTTAACTTAAAACAAGTTCCTCAAGCAAGAACCCAGCACGGGTACTTTGTGTTCATGGGTTTGAAGTTTTGGGGAAACACCAACGCAAACCCCCCATCCCTATTCAAATTAAACCCACCATAACGCCGCTTCCTGAACCACCTAAACCCTAAACTTCCTAGACCCCCTAAGCCCTAAATCCCAAATCCCCTGAACCCTAAACCCTAAACCCTAAGTCCCAGCCAGCAGACCTGATCCCCAGCCTAGGTACACAACCATCGCATATGCCTTGCGCCAGCCGGGGCAGTGGATCATCAGCAGCGAGGTCGGATTTTTAGTTTCGGGTCCTGGGCTGCTACCCCCCCCTTTGGTTTCCCTCGCCCTGGTCTTCCGGGGCTGTCTGTGACACAGGGATCGAGCGGGTTGGGGCGACGCTATCAAAGCGCCGGTGGTCACTGAGATTGGACTTTTTGGCGTCACGTTCCCTCGGACTCTCGTTTTGGACATGCAGGGCAAGTTCCCATCTCAAACATGGCAGAAGTAGTGTATAGCTCGCACGTAATCGGGATTTGCATCAGTGTCTGTGCTTTTGTGGGGGAGGGTTGCAGAACACGGTTCGGTTCGCACCGGAACAGAAACCATCACCCTCACCACAGGGTGTCAATGCAATGCTCTGCGAGTGCACAAGAACGACGGCAATACCACAGCGACGAAGGTACCATCGGTTTCTGTTACAGCTACTAGGCAGCTACTAAGCTTCATGAAGCATTAGTCACTGCAATGTCATGTAGTAAGAGAGCCGAGCATTTTTTGCATGCGCCAAAACCGCAGATCCCGAGCCCACCAGGATATAAAGCTTTAAGGGGGTTTGCGTCGTCAGGGTTTTCGGGGTGGGGGTAACGCTGAACCTAGCCCTACACCCTATGCCCTAAACCGCGACGGTGAAGCGTCTTGTTGTTATTATTGTTTTCGCGAGTATAGGATGCAATGTAGGCGCCGAAATACGTACCTACATTATTTTGAGGGCTCCTTACTATAATTCTAGCAAAAAATGGGCCCCAAAAACCCTATTCTGATTACTAACGCCCCCAAAACCCTAAACCCTTATAGTAGCCCTTATAGAACCCTTTAAGGAACCCTTTAAAAGCA